TCTGCCAAATGAATCCAAATGCCGCCAACTGTGCCGTACATTGAAATATCGAGTTGCTCGAAATCCCCGTGTCATTAGGTTCGTTGTTGTTTTTTGTTCGCCCCTCCGACCAATGCATGATGAAAAATCCCGGTGTTGCGCGACAACAGGTGAACTATTTCCGCGGCGATAAAAAGTTGAAAGAGCACCTGCAAGGGGGGGGAGAGCAATTACGGCGAATGGGGGCTCGGGTGGCGCGCGGTGTTTTAAATGTACACCCTGTCGGGGGCTTCGCGGGCGTTTAATTAAAACGCGTTTCGGGGGAAAAAACAATCGAGCGCCGGGAAATATATATATATATTACCGCGAAAACGGCGAATAATGAAATAAAGTCGTCGAGTATTTTTTTCCGGCCTATTAGCGCGGCATTGGGGATGAGGGGGGGGGGCGATAAAATTAAAAACGAGTGTACGTACGAGCGCAGCTTTGAAATTAAAAAAGAGCACGCAGTCATACGCGCAACTTACCCTCGCAGCGACGCGGTAATATATCATAACGGCGGAGCTTTGCTCTCTACAGACATATAATATGTGTAACGTAGACCTATACGTAACACGATGGATTTTTTTACACCATGGGGTGTATATACGGTGGAGCTATCCCTCGGGCTACAATAGCTAAAGTACGGAAGCAGAGGAGAGGAGGAGGGGGACAGGATACGTCTGGCGGATCCATCTGCGGTCTCTCGCCGGTTAGCCCCTAATGCACTGCAGTATCCAACTGTTTGTAGGGTTGTTGTATACCTATACCCTGTATTACATTTACGAGTCGGACAATAGCTTGCCAAAGCGACAAGTACGTACGAGGCTTGACTTTTGTAACTTCACCGTTATACCCTGTGAAAGTTTTTTCAGTCCTTCTGGTTAATCGACTGCGAGAGGGTACGTATATAAATAATGCAATAGCGCACTCGAGCATCCAACGATTTGCGTGTACATTGAGAGGGGGGTGGCGATTAGCCAGTTTGGTTTGAACACACATTGATGCACGCACACGAGAGGAGTTCGGCCGCGAGGTGTATATATTATACACGTAGCGCGTAATTTACTGCTTTTTCGCTATTGTATGTATGTACAAGCGTTTGACGAGACGAGTCCATACATTACGTTACATAGCTGCATGGAGGGTATACCCGATGTACACGACCCGTATGGCGCTATGGGCAAATTAATTGGAAAACTAAGCATTTCCAGTGCTCCATCCATAGTTACCTCATTCATGTACTGGGGGATGCAGGTCGATCTGTCTACACGGTGGTGGTGTCGTTATAGGTTTAGCCGGCTGGAGTTTGAAAAATTGTCCCCGCGTATATATGTATATACACGCGACGTCGGATCGTACGAGATTAATTGCTCGGTGCTTCGTATACGCTCGCATGCGTGTGTATATATAATATCCGGGGAGGACGATACCTCGGACAAATTCCATCGGCCGAATGAATAATTCAACAGCCGAAAGTATAACGAGGGGTGTTTTTTTTTTTCGTTTCTTTCTCGCGGTGTGTATGCGCTTGTGATAAAGTTCGTTTGGCCGGCGGTCCAGTTCGGCAGGGGATTAAAATTACGGAAGATCGATCGCATTGGCAGGTAAAACAGGTACACTTATATGTAGGTAGCAAGAAATCTACGTAAGGTAGAGAAAAAGGAGGGAGGAGAAAAATCAGTACGATGATCAGAACGAAGCTATATACATACGTGTACGTGGGGGAGGGCAATTAGGGTTGAACGGGCTTCTTATTAAACGCGCCCTGAATGTTTGATGGGGCTTTTATCGGGACGGGAGATCGATAACCGACCGGCCGCCCAACCCCACCCCCTATATATACATTTGTGCCGGCCGCAAGCTCGTTCTCTCTGCAACGTATAGCGACATTCATTGTCGACGCTTCATCTCCTCCTCCTCCTCTTCTTCTTCTTCTTCTTCTTCTGCACTGATGATGTGTTATACGCAGTGCAACACATATATACACCCGAGCACTCGGTATAGACGTATACGTACATCCTCCATCTCGCTTTATCGCCCTTATTGTACCGTTTTACGGGTAATATAATACAATACATGTACATATACTATAAAAAGAAATACGTATACGGGGTAGGTACTGTATAGATTTGATGATGCACGCATGCGGGTGTGTGCACACGCACACGGTATACGTATATACGCGCCGTGCCGGCGCGCGCTTAAGCGAGCAAAGCCAGATAACCAGAGAGATATAGGGGGAGTTGGTGCGTCGAGGGGGTAGGAGATGATCTATATATATGTATACGTATACACACAACTATACACGACGAAGAGGAGGAGCGGAGGAGAATGTTTTGGCGCTCTCCCCGTTGCAGAGAGCCCCCCCCCCTGCCACACTTGCCCCTCATCGATTTCACACAGCAGAGATGGAGCAACGGCGGGGAGGGAAAGGGGATGTACGCAAGCGCGGCTGGTATATACATATACACACGGCGGACCTCTTAGCTACTGATTGGTGACGAAAAGTGGTGTAGGTATTACGGAACGCAAGGAAAGGGGAGACGGTGAACTGCGCGCCGGCCGAGTGTTGTATTATACTTATGGGTGTGATTTCAGCGGGGGGGGGGGGAGAAAATAAGCCGCGTTGGTATACGTATACCCACGTATATAAGAGAAACAGACTCGAGCGCTACATAAATATTACGGTGATGGCAACTCGGAAGATCAATCGCCCGGCTCCGCACTTGGCTTGTTTCAATTGCCTCTAATTACGCGGAGAGTCCAGAGTGGGGGGGGGGGCGCCAGATACCGAGAAACAAAGAAAGCAAAAGAGAGCGTACCCTATATACACTTCGTACCACTGTGTACCGAGATACATCTATACGAAAGATAACGAGAATTAATCGAGACCGATTATACTATTGGGTCCTCGTATAGCATCAGAGGGTAGACAACCCACTAAAGTTGCAGGTGCATGTAACAGGGGTAGCCAATAGTTGCCCGCCTGTGTACGAAATGTACCTAACATATTACTCGATTAAAATTGCACGTGTGCATGGATAATCTTGCTTATAAACACGTGCATTGGAGACTTGGCGAAGATGAATGGACGGGGACGACGAGTCAAACGAGAGCTTATGGGTAAAGCTACCCGTTTACACGTACATTGGAGGCACTAACCAGGGGAAACTAAGAAGAGGTGGGGGGCTAGTCGAGTTGCTGTAGTTTTCAGCCCCGTCACCCCTTCCTCCCCCTTCTCCATGTACATATATATATACATATACCAATCGAGAAGAAGCAGCGTGCTCCCCTTCTCTCCTACTCTGTATTAGCGCTCTCGAGCCACCCCCGCGGCCAGCGCATAGTTTATGAACCTGTGGCTTCGGCAAACTTCGTTACGCTTGTGTATCGCTCTTTTCCTATTATGTGCCGCGCGGCACTACCCGCCGAGCATCAAGCGTTTAACGTGTATACGTATATGTATGACGGCATTCGCGTCCGAGGGAGGCCGTTGGAAATTTTCAGCTCGATCGTTTCGGCCGGCCGAGCTGGGGCTTTTCGTGGAAGGGAACGGGTGTGTATAATACGTGATTACCGGAAATGGAGTTGGTGGCGGTGAAGAAGAGCGCGCATGTATAATGCCGGGGAAGAAGGGGAGATTAATTACTCGTGGGAGCTCGAGAGTTTGCAGTTGGGATGGGGTGGTTATTTTTTTCCTTCCTTCCTTCTTCTTCTTCTTCTTGTTATCGCCGTCACGATTCGAGTGGATAATTAAACGGATTCTCATCGCATGGACCATCCACTCGAATCGTTGTATTTTCCCTTCACAATTAATGTAGAAACAAAAAAAAACAAAAAAAATTGCAACCTCATTCACCTTTGAAATTGCACCAAACATTGTACCAAAAATGAATGATTTCCATCAATACGCGAGGTATCGAAACAAGGGCGCAAATAACTCTTCTTCCCTTTCGGAGTGTAGCACTGCAGTCTCAAATTTCGCGATAAACCAGAAATAGCTATACCACTCGGTCCTACATTGAATATTCGGCCGGAGCTTGAATAAGCTGCGGCAGCGATGATATTTATTCGTGAAAAAGGGGGGGGGGGAGAAACAAAAAGAAAAGGACGAGGCGCAAAAGTTTATAGGCGGGAGGGAAGACAAAGCCGCGTGTAGCGTATATAGCAGGTAAATGCCGCAAATAGAGTGGCGCGCATGGAGAGTGTCGAGTAGCGAGCGGCGTTTAGAAGTGTATATATAGCGGCGAGAATCTCTCGCGTTGAACGCTCGTATATTATTATACCTATACACGCATTCTCCCCTCCACCAGTACCGTCTCAACTATGCTGGGCAGATAAAGGGCTGCACAGTGTTACATAGAGCCATAGAAGAGAGAGAAATCGCTGTCGAGCGCAAGCGCGTTCTCTCGGTTGTGGGGCACTATATGCTACCTTCTTATATATATATAAGTGGCTCTATACGTTATGGCAGCCCAAGATGCTCTCCTTTGCCCCCGTTCCCGCCTCTGAGATTCGCCCGAAGGAGGGAAAAAGAGGAGAGAAGCACGCCGGCTGCAATCTCGCGGATCTCAAGCGGGCGTTCCGCAGCGGATGCCCGGCATAGCACAATCGCATTCTTACATCATCGGGCGCTCTCGCTCTTTCCTCCGTTCGAGCCCCCCCCCCCCCAAGGAAAGGGGGAACTCCATACCGGCTCTTGTTTACGTTCTCGTTACCTCGTGATTTTATTCGCACTTTCGCCCACCCCTCCACCTCTCTCTTTCTTCTACTTTCGCTCGATTTATCGTACACAACTCGCCTTCAATTATCTCGCTGAATTCTGTGGCGATTTTAATTCTTGTTTTTTACTTCCTGTAAACGAAGCGACGGGAAAAAAAAAAGTCACTTTCACGACGTCTGACCATACTCGCTTTGTTCTACTGCGGGCTTTTGCGTGGCGTTGTTAATGACATTCACGGGACGGATATATATCTCACCTTTGCTGGGCGACTTGTTGAGTGATTTCCTGTACTCCCTGGCGCTGGCCTGCAGCAGCTCGACCGCGGACTGGCCGTTGTGGGGAAACGGGTGGTGGGCCTGATGGAGCCCGAACATCATGCCCTCCGGCTCGAGGAACGTCGTAGTCGGCGTGGCCGTGGTCAAGTGTTCCTCGCTCGGTCGTTTGCGCTGCTCCGGTCCCGCGCTCGGCTCGTAAAGGTACTGCTCCGGGGGACTCCGACTGCGCCTTGGGCCCGTGGTCAGGTTAAGCGGGCCGTCCTCGCACTCCTCGCCGGGGCAGCTCGACAGCGCGACCGAGTGGAAACTCGCGGCGGACGGCTGGGTGCCGCAGTAGCTCGAAGCCGGCGACATCATCGGCGAGGCCGGGCTAGGCGTGCACGGCGGCGACGTCAAGCTACCCTGTTTACCGATGCATTTACATATATATATATATATATATGTAGACATATATACTATGTGTGTAGGCGATGATGAAGACAAATGGTGAAAAAAACTCACCGTGTGCACCGAAGCCGGGGAGTGGGCGGGCAGGGGCGAGTAGATGGGCAGGGGTGCCCTGACGAGGGGACTGGTCACACTGAGCCGTCTGGGGGTCGGGGCGAGCAGTTTACTCTGTTGGGGGTGGTGGTGGTGAAAGGCCCGGGGGGGCCCATTACCGCCACCAGGTCCGGGTCCGCTCCAGCCGAGTATGTCGCTGATGCGGTGGGGGGTGGGGGTGCGAGGGGGCGGGGCGTACACGTGCTCGTGCCAGGTGGCGGGCCTCGGGCCGAGGGGCGTGGGCCCGGTCATGGTCGTCAAGCCGAGTTGTTCCGGCTTGTCGGGGCCGGGCTTCTTGGGGCCAGTGCCGCAGCCAGCCCGCACAAGGGCGGCCGTGCCCTCGTCCGATTCGCCGTCCGACGGCATCTTGTTACGGAAGCTCCCGGCGGCGCAAGCTCCCGACTGCTGCAGCAGCACCTGGGCCATAAATCCTGGGAGGATGGACCGTGCCTACTGCCGCTGGCCACCCGCAATGCTATTTACCGCCGATGTAGCCTGCAACGTTATTATACTCAAGTATCCCTCTAAGGAGATTTTCAATAGACACAACAGAGTCTCGAGAAATAGATGCGTTTCAAAAAAAAAAAAAAAGCAGGTTAATTCGTTTTACCTCGTATCCGATTCCACCAGGTTGTATTTTTCCACTTGTCTGCTTGACCTTGACCCCCCTTATGGTGGGGGTTTCACAAAATAGCGTAACTACCGCACAAAAAACAACACCGTTCCCTCACCGGCACCGCACGTCCGATGGCAAACTAAACTGCAGCTGTACAGCCGAGCCTAATGCCAACTAACGCGTTGGACCGAGCGTACACGGAGATGGAGGGAGATGATGAAGTGCCATGGGCATCGCAGGGGGGGGGGAAGCACGACTACTTCCTCGTTGCCGGCATCCTCGGGGGCTCCGTATTGTAACACAGTGTCTCGCCTAACGCGATAATTCGTGCGGCGAGCGCTGAGCCTCGACACGGCTACTGTCCGTCATTATCACCATTACCATCGTCGTCATTGCTACCATCATCCTATGATCATGAGGTACGCGTGCTGTGCCGGAAACCAGGCGCACGCGAGTCGTTGCTGTAGCTTGGCCGTCTCCTCTTCCTCCTCCCGAGTCCAGCAGCTGTCAATCATCGTCGCGATTGAACCAACACCGTTAAGCATACCGCGATTACTCGGTTGAAACGTGTACGTCCCGCGTGAATGGATAACCGGTCACCGGCTCGGTATTAACCGGCAACCGGTAGCACTGGCACTGATGAAACGACCGGTACCCGCTACTTTGGCGCACCGCATATTTTACACAAACTCCGGCACCGGTGCTGACGGCGACGGTGATGACAACAGGTGTCACTGACAGTGCAAGTTACAGCGGCGCCGTTAATTCCACTGATGGGATTCCTCCGAAAATACACGCTTCTCGGATGCCCCGGCTCTCTCGCTTTTGCCTCACGGCACATAGCACGCTCGGCCGTTCGAGTTCATTTATGTGTTGTTCCCCATATAAGCGCGAGCGTTGAGCCAATTATACATAGCATGTATAAGCTCGGAAAGGTCGAAAGGGAGTACAACCTCGTCGGATCTAACGTCGTCGCTCACTTTGTCGAGGATAAAGTGCCGGCGCTCTATAAGTATACACAAAACCACCGCTCCAAAGGCGCTAAAGCGTTTTCCTCGTTCTCGCATACATATACATTATACACGGGCACGCGCGTCTCCCAATATTATCTCTCTCTTTTCCTATGCGTATACATTACATAAACAGTATATAACACAGATGCAGCATCCCACGGTGTGTGCGCGCGCGGGTCCAATAATCGAGGCGTGCGCGCTCTCTCTCTCTGCCACCGTCTCTATACATATATACATAAGGGTATATGTATATATATGGCTTTCTCTCTCGTTTACGTGCCCGTTTATATATATGCATATATATATATATATATTTTTTATCGGTAGAGGGGGAGCTCTTGTATTTTCTCTTCTCTCCGACGACGTCTGGCTCTGGCTTTTTAGAGAGATACACGTATATATTATGTACGTAGATACGTGCGAGCGCAAGAGTGTGTGCGTGCAGATCCGACGATTGGCTCACTCTCCCTTTTTCTTCCTCGTCTTCTACGCCTCGTTTGGCCGCGAGGCGCGGCTAAGTGATTGTGACGCGGATGAGCTTATTTGTCCGTAAATATACATACACACACATACACATGTACACGGACGATTGCGACGATGGTTGTACGTATGCAGCCGTGTGAGAGTGAGAGCGCTGGGCCCTGTGTGGTTGAATCGACGAGGATGACTATATTATGTGGCTGGCTTGAATTGCTTAATGTTGCGGCGAGCCAGCACCGCTTCAAGTTATATTATACGTGCGCCACACAATGGGGAATTCTCCGTTTGAGCTGTCAGAGCGACGTCCCATCGGGCTCTCGTTGAATAAACGATCGGTTTCTGTTTTTCTCCTCGGCTTTCCCATTACCATCGACAATCGATGCACCATCGACCGTTAAATCGAGCAATGATGAACCATCACAACAAAAATAATCCCAAGCTCTCAGTCTGCATGGACTGCACACAGTGTACCGATCAAAAGAATCGCTCGTCGCACTTTACCCGGTCACGATGCGTGTATACACAAGACACATGTACATACATCTAGGTCGATGAGCTTGCAGCACCACGTGGGCCGTTAGAGTTGCAGTTTGTGTGTACGCGTTGTACACTCGTTCGAGCGATAATGGGCAAGGATAGGAGGCAGGGGGGGGGAGAGAGGTTGAACGCGCGCGTCGAAAGAATCGCTGGCGTCAAGAGCGCACAGGACACGGACTGCGGAAGATTAAATGGACTCTGGCGAGTAAGAGCCCGTATCTATGTAGGGGTGGGTGGCGTGTACACTGCACCAGGCGCGCCAACAGCACGTGTTTCCGCGCGACGCGCGCAAGTGTGCGTACCTGTACGTATGTGTAATCGCGAGCTTACGGCAAATAACGGGTGTATACATATGAGCTTCGTTAACGATTTACCGCGCGCGTGTATAATTTATATGGATTCACTGTACAACCTGTATGTGTATACAAGTGAGAGCGACGGATGAAACAAGAGGCGTGACATTACGATGTGGAAGATGTAATGGTAATTATGTATATATACGGTTACGGGCGAGTGTACATAATATAGAGGGACAGAGACGCGCGTGTGTCCGTTGACGCCCGTTTGCTGACTGATTGTCGTGAGATTTTGGGGTATATGCGGGACGGATGGTCGGGCGCTCGTAGCGGGGAAGCTGCTGCTCTCTCGGTCTATCTTCTTATCCATCCGTGCGGAGCGCGTGCATGTGTATAGGCATATATACACACATACGGGCACCGCGTACACGCTCAAAGTGTCGAAAGTGGGGGGAGGGGTAGAGAGAGAAAGCGGGGGTGGAAGCAGAGAAAGCTAGGCGCGCGCAGTCACGGAGGGAGAGAGCTTTCGTGGGTGTGTGTGGCGCCCACTTTGGGTGTGTAATACGTATACGCGTTCATCGGAGCTTTTGTGCGCGAGCTAGCGCTCCGGGGGTCAAGCGTTCTCGTTTTACGCAGGCCGACTCTCTCTCTCTCTCTCGCTTTATTTTTAAATGGATTGTGCGTGGATCAGGGCTGATGGTTGGCTTCCCCCCCCCCCTCCCCCCACACCAACCGGGACGCACACCACTACTCCGCGTCGTCTCGTTAATTGCTCTCGCTTACTGCCTGATGTGTGCTCATAGCTCGTTGGCTTTCGTGCTACTGGATGCTCATTTCGTCTCTCCGCGCTTTCACGTCGTTTACGAGTATTTTAAATCAATTGCGCCTAATTTACCCCCCACCCCACCCTACACGAGAGACTCCGAGAGCCATTCGGACTTTTAAACTCGGCGTGGTTTTTATGTATGGGGCAAAGAGTCCACTTGGCAGCTATCGATTAGAGCAATATACTTGTTATGTTTCAATAAACAAAAGCCTAGCTGTTATCGGGCGATAAGCAGATGTAGATTCGGAGAATCGATCGGCAAAATTGGAATATATTTACATGTGAGCAAATACAGGTTCGCAGAACTAAATAAACGTCAAGGCAACGAGTATATTATATATACGATTCACTGGTGTTTAGACCAACAACGTATTAACATACTTAAATCAAGGCAAAACGTCAAAACAATAAGAGACAAGGAGAAGGTGTGTATTAAATTACTAACGTAAGTTCAAACGGAAAAGTTTTGCAAATACAAATATACTAAAAGATTTTTAATTATTACGCAGCAGTACAATTACAGATTAAATTAAAAGTCCTAGAATTAATTAAAATACGTACTGATCTGCTTATTTTTTCGATCTAATGAACACCGATGTGACATGCACCCGCTCAAGTCTGACCATACACGGTCTTGTTCTACTTAAGCTCGGCGATAGCTCCGTTATAATTATACGATTGTAATTTGATTGTTGCTACACGTGTACCCTCATTTGCTATTTTTAAGGGGTAATTAGATGAAGATGTTTGCGAGGAAGAGATGCTTATGCTTTGTGAATCGGTAAAAAGGACGAATCTGGCCACTACGAGTGTACAGGGTGAAAATTCGAAATGGCAAACAATCGGTGTAAGCGAAAGGCACGAAGATGAGGCAGGTTGCAGGCATCAGTACCAATTGACTCGTCGAAACACTCAATTCCGGCTTGTGCAGTGCGTGTTTACACGCCAGAGAAAGAGAAGAGGCGGGAGATAGTATAGAGAGAGGCAGCAAAAATAACAGGAAGCGACGGCGCGTGCGTCCGATGGGCATGGCTCTCTGAATGGCGATCCGGAGCATCGGTGGAGAGGAGAGATCGCATACATATATATTATACGCCATCGCGGCAACGTGTAAATATACCGACTGCCACACGAGTGTCGCGGACGGTCGTACCGTCTGGCGGGGATTTATTGCCCGGGCACCGCATCATCGCTACACACACATATACAATTACATCCTCTCTCCTCTCATATCTTTATACGTTGCGTTTTTGTATACACACCTACTTACACACCAGAAGATGGGGAAAAGGAGGAAGCGAGCGCGTCACTTAACGACCGGGCGAGTGGGCGCTCCGTTTGACGCTGTGTATATACACTCGTATAGCGTTAATAGCCACTTTTTTTACTCGGCGCTCGGTTTACCGACCCCACACGTTACAATGGAGCAAACTTTTCCGATACGCGGCATTGATTAGCACCAAAGACTCTTGAAAGTGGCCCACTGAACTGATGCTCTCGGCACTTGTGGTACCTACAACATTGCGTTTTGCTATTTCCGCTACTGTCACCTTTGCACCCTGAAATTATAAGTTGATCAAGTTGATTACGTATCACAA